GGCACATGTGTGTGGTGATGGGTTGTAATTAGTATTTGGGTGGTGAACATGATGTAATCTATGCAGAAATAGAAGTATAATGATGTACACCTGAAATTTACACAATGTTATAAACCAGTGTTACTGCAATAAACAAACAAAAAAAAAGAAGTAAAAGAGGATAAATTACAACGGATACTACACAAGTACAAGGGATTATAAGAGAATACTGTGAAAAACTTTATGCCAACAAATTAGATAACCTAGAAGAAAGGGATAAATTCTTAGATTCATGCAACTTCCCAATACTAAATCAAGAAGAAATAGAGAATCTGAATAGACCAATCAAAGGTAAAGATATTGTAACAGTAATCAAAAACCTCCCAAAAAGCAAAAGTCCAGGATCAGATGGCTTCTCTGGAGAATTCTACCAAACATTCAAAGAAGATTTAATACCTCTCATTCTCAAACCACTCAAAAAATTGAAGAAGATGGAGCACTTCTTAACTCATTCTATGAGGCCAACATCACCCTAATACCAAAACCAGACAAGGACAACACAAAGAAGGAAAATTACAGGCAAATATTGCAATGAACATAAATGCAAAAATCCTCAACAAAATATTGGCAAACTGAATACAGCAATACGCTAAAGGATCATACATCAATATATTAAAAGGATCGTAGACCATGATCAGGTGGGATTTATACCAGGGACGCAGGGATGGTTCAACATCCACAAATCAATCAATGTGATACACCACATTAACAAAATGAGGAATAAAAATCACATGATCATCTCAATAGATGCAGAGAAAGCATGTGACGAGATCCAACATCCATTTATGATAAAAACTCTCAACAAAATGAGTATAGAAGGAAAGTACCTCAACATAGTAAAGGCCATATGCGGCAGACCCACAGCCAACATCATACTTAATGGGGAAAAACTGAAAGCCATCCCTCTGAGGACGGGAACAAGACAAGGGTGCCCACTCTCACCACTCCTATTCAACATAGTACTGGAGGTTTTAGCCAGAGCGATTGGGCAAGAAAAAGAAATAAAAGGAATCCAAATTGGAAAGGAAGAAATGAAACTCTCACTGTTTGTGGACAACATGATTCTATGTAGAAAACCTTAAGGAATCCACTAGAAAACTATTAGAAATAATCAACAGCTACAGCAAAGTTTCAGGATACAAAAATTACAAAGTCAACTTACAAAAATCAGTTGCATTTCTATACTCTAATAACGAACTAGCAGAAAGAGAAGTCAAGAATACAATCTCATTTACAATCACAACAAAAAGAATAAAATATCTAGGCATAAATTTAACCAAGGAGGTGAAAGTCCTGCACACTGAAAACTATAAAACATTGTTGAAAGAAGTTGAAGAAGACACGAAGAAATGGAAAGCTACTCTGTGCTCATGGATTGGAAGAATTAACAGTTAAAATGTCCATATTACCTAAAGCAATCTACAGATTCAATGCAATCCCAATCAGAATCCCAATGACATTCTTCACAGAAATAGAACAAAGAGTCCTAAAATTTATATGGAACAACACAAGACCCCGAATAGCCAAAGCAATCCTGAGAAGAAAGAACAAAGCTGGAGGTGTCAGCCCTGACTTCAAAATATACTATAAAGCTGTAGTAATCAAAACAGCGTAGAACTGGCACAAAAACAGAAACACAGATCAATGGAACAGAGTTGAAAACCTAGAAATAAAACCACACATCCTCTGATAGCTAATCTTTGACAAAGGAGCCAAGAACACACAATGGAGAAAGGAAAGTCTCTTCAATAAATGGTGTTGGGAAAATGGGACAGCCACGTGCAAAAGAATGAAAGTAGACCATTATCTTACACCGTACACAAAAATTAACTCAAAATGTGTTCAAGACTTGCATGTAAGACCTGAAACCATAAAACTCCTAGAAGAAAATATAGGCAGTACACTCTTTGACATTGGTCTTAGCAGCATCTTTTTGAATACCATGTCTTCTCAGGCATTGGAAACAAAAGAAAAAATAAACAAATGGGATTACATCAGACCAAAGAGCTTCTGCAAGACAAAGGAAACTATCAACAAGATGAAAAGACAATCCACCAACTGGGAGAAAATATTTGCAAATCGTATATCCAACAAGGGGTTCATCTCCAGAATAGATAAAAAACTCATACAACTCAACAACAAAAAAACAAACAATCCAATTAAAAAATGGGCAGAGAATATGAACAGACATTTTTCCGAAGAAGATATACAGATGACCAACAGGCACATGAAAAGATGTTCAACATCACTAATCATCAGGGAAATGCAAATCAAAACTATAATGAGATATTACCTAACACCTGTTAGAATGGGTATAATTACCAGGACAAAAAACAACAAATGTTGGAGAGGATGTGGAGAAAAGGGAACCCTCATACATTGCTGGTGGGAATGCAAACTGGTGCAGCCACTATGGTAAACAGTATGGAGATTCCTCAAAAAATTAAAAATAGAAATACCGTATGATCCAGCTATCCCACTACTGAGTATTTATCCAAAGAACTTGAAATCAGCAATTCAAAAAGACTTATGCACCCCTATGTTCATTGCAGCACTATTCACAATAGTCAAGACATGCAAGCAACCTAAGTGCCCATCAACTGATAAATGAGTAAACAAGATGTGGTGTATATATACAGTGGAATACTACTCAGCCATAAAAAAAAAGACAAAATCATCCCATTTGCAACAACATGGATGGACCTTGAGGGTATTGTGTTAAACGAAATAAGCCAGACAGAGAAAGACAGACACCATATGGTTTCATTCATATGTAGAAGATAAACAAATACATGGACAAAGAGAACAGATTAGTGGTTACCACAGGGGAAGGGGGTTTGGGGTGCGCATAAGGGCTAAAGGGGCACATATATATGGTGACGGAGAAAAATTAGACTATTTGTAGTGAGCATGATGCAGTCTATACAGAAACTGATGAACAGTAATGTACACCTGAAATTACACAGTTATAAAGCATTATGACCTCAATGAAATAATTGGAAGAAAAAAGGATCTCAAGTTCAGTCAATGAAAGCATAGTTTAGTGTTTGTAGGCCTTAAAATGTTGCAGCATATATGCTGTTTTATACCAGTTCTAGACTATTCTGATAACACTTTGGAGATAGTTTAGAGCTAGCTACATGTGAGTATTTAAATTTAAATTAACTAAAATTAAAAACTTAGTTCCTGCTTCATCCACTACATTTCAAATGATCTGTAGCCTCCTGTGGCTAGTGGTGGCTGTATAGCACAGTACAAATCAAGAACATTTTCACCTCAGAAAGTTCTGCTGGGGAGCACTGCTTTAGAGTGACACGTTCATGGGGGAGGAGCTGCACCTCTGCTATAAGTTGTAAACAGAAATGGGCCTTTGGGGGTAATTTGTCACTCTGAGGAGTACATTGTCAACCTTTGGGGGGATGCTGGTCCGATGATGCTGCGTCTCTCTTGGGCTCTGGCTCTCCACCAAACAAGTGTCAGGGTCAGAGGGAACCAGCTGGGGTGGGTTCCGTAAGTAGCTTCCATTGGTTGACTGCTTGTGTTATACACATGAGTGTGCTCATTTCAGGTTTGCAATGAGAATTCTCTGTTCAAAAGCGAGGCCCACTACCTGGTTCGCAGGAAGGATCCAGAGCTCTGGGCTCACATTCTTGAGGAGACCAACCCGTTCAGGAGACAGCGATTGACCAGGTGAGGCACAGAAAGGTGGGGGGATGTATGTGCATGCATGCCCACATGTTGCCCTCTAATCATCCATGGCCCAAGTGACTAGTTTGATTTATTACATCAAAAACATCTTCAGATGCGTGACCAGACAATCTAATGAGCCTTCACTACTCTCTTCTCCCTCTAGAAGCTGCCTGCCTAAAAATGGTTTTGATTCCCAAGGGTGAGCTAACTTGGAGCTGTTTATTGGTTAAGGACACAGAGTTGGCCCTAGTCTCTAAAGCAGGGATGTTCAGCTCCTGTAAAAGGAATATCCAGTGGCTTGCCTACATGCTGGATCCTTAATATTTTTTCCAGCTCAGCCCTTGCTGACAAAAGTTAAGTGGCTTTCAAGGTTGTCTCAACTGGACTTCCCTTTGTCAAGGAGCCCCTTGCACCCTTGTGACTGTCTAGCTCCTCCTTGAAGCTGGGGTGCAGTGTTGAGGCCAGGGATCCTTCCTAGGTGCAGCCTGGCAGGCACTTGTCAGCCTTAGCCCTTCCACGGGCTTGCATAGCCTCTCAGACATTAGCAGATGGTGCCTTCGTTGTCCTCAGCACTGTCCCCTAGCTGCTGGACACACTGTTTAGGGATGGGCTGAGACCGGTGTGGGAACAAGACCCTGGTCCAACAAGTAGGCTTCAGCCTTGAGCTGATCAACGCACCCACCTCCCTTGAGGACATTGCCAACCCACTGGACACATTTGTTTAAACTCAAGGGTTGGAGTTCACCTGTATCTCTAATGAATTTCACCTTCTTGATTTCTGTCCACTGTTCCTCATGCCCATGCCATTATTTTTTTCTTAATAAACTTTTCATTGCAGAACACTTACATGTGTAAAAGCTCGTGTTATTTTGAATATTATATGAGCTTTGGACTTGCCCATCTCTGAGATTTACCTGAGGATTTAGTGCACTTCATCCAAATCTGATGAAGACATTGAGCAGCAGAGAGCCCAAGACAGAGTTGGTTTAGAGTCCACTAGGGGTCTTGCCTCAAGTTCGCAGAAAACAGGTTTATCCAGGTATGGTTCCGCTGCCTGGCAGGCCTTCTGGGTCACGTCACATTGGCACCAGGAAGAGCAGCTTTAACACTATGCTGAGCTGAAGCCAGTGGGTGCCTCTGGTCTCCCTGTGCCTGTGTGGAGCCGCTGGGCCTGTCATTATGTCTGCTGTGACTGAATATTCATAGCCACCTCCTGGAGACATCCCCTGCAGTGCCACTCTAATTAAAGGGAGTTGCCTGATGGCAGTGGCAGACTGCTTTTAGGTCTGGAGTAGAAACTTATGGAGTAAACTTATGGAAAGTTTACTTAGAGGAAGCAGTATTCTCAGGTAACCTTAGGTGGGGCATCCTGTGTTGACTCAAATAGATGGTAGAAATTTATTTTTGCCCTGAAAACAACCAGTCTGTATTTCAAGTGCTGTAAAGTTTTCAAGAATTGACAGCACATCTCCTACTCAAGTTGGACTTGGTGCTGTGTCACAACTCTCCTTTCCCTCAAGTGTACCTGTCTTGTTACTTATCTGCTGCAATAGCCCCTTTTCTCGACCTTCTCTGCATGCCAATTGGTATTGTTATAACCTCCTCAGAGGAAGAACTTGTGCATCTTTTGGTGCCATTGGGTACATAGTGGCCACCTGCAAGGTGGACTGGGCTGACTTTGATCCTGGTTCCATTGAAGCCCCTCACGATTGCAAGGTCAACATTCAGGGCCAGAGGTGTATATCAGCTGTGTCAGACCTCCTCAGAGCTGTCTGTTCTTTCTCATTAATAGACTACTGTTGCCCACTGATGAATGCCAGAAACTTGACAAAAATAATAGATCCCAAAGTCACCAAAGGCTCCTGGTATAAAGTGTAAAGAGAACAGTGCTGGTCTTCTAGCCTACTATTATTTGGGAATTGTATTCTTTGGAAAAATGTCTTTCTGCCCAGTTTGTAAGTTTTCTTGTAGGTGAGACACCCATAATTGGATGAGGAGTGGCATGGCCAGTCTTTTGTCAGTCTTTCCTTCAGAGCATGGTTCTGAGGGCTCTAGAGCTCGGGTGCGCTTGACTGCATCCCTGGAAGTGGGCTGGACCGCAGCAGCGGTGGTGTTCTAGGCTAGCAAGGGGCTGCTGGGGGCCCTGTGGTATTCTTATTAGAGAAATGGAGGCCATATTTTCTATGAACAGTGGCTTAAGAAAACAAAGCTGAAAGCAGACATGCATTTCAGCTACCTGCTTAGCACACTGTGTTCCTGGCTTTGGAGTAAATTTACAGTATGGTCATTGGGGCAGAGATAAGAGTCTGTAACCCTTTTGATGTGAGAGAAAAACTAATTGTTAAAGTGGGACAAACAGAGAAATCCCTGAAATTGACTCCTTTAGACACTCTTTCCTTTCTACCGTGAGAAATCTCCCATTTTCTCTGTGTCTATTCCAGACTGTCTTTGAGGAATCCTTCCCTTCTGTTTAGCTTCATAGATACAGGGTTGAATTGACTTTATCTAACCAAGTTCTTTCAAATGATTTTTAAAACCAGGTGGTATAAACGGCATTGTCTGAAACACAGGATCCTGAAGAGGTCTCAGTCACTGTCAAGGCCTTCATGACAGCTGACCTGCCTAAAGAACTGATTGAGCTGCTGGAAAAGATTGTTCTGGGTAACTCTGTCTTCAGTGAGCACAGGTGAGGGTGTGCCAAGGGTAGCTGCTTGACATTCTCTTTCCATTACAATCTTGTCTCACCTTACCCACCTAGCCTCACCATCGGCTGCTCCCCAGACATATGGCCAGTCTTCTTACTGCCTTTGTAGCTTCAGTCCAGCCCTTCTCTTTGCTTATTTAAATTCTACCTGTCTCTTATAGCCCAACATAAATTCTCCTTTTTCTAGGAAGCTGTCCTTCCTGTTACTGCTCTGGCCCACACTGTTCTTCTTCAACCACACTGCTCAGACAAAGGGAGCTGACACTTATTAGGGCCTACTATGTCCCAAGTATGTGTTAGACTCTTGAAATCATGGGGAACAAAGCTTGGAAACAGATGGCAAGAAAACTAAATCTAGGTACATATCAGGGAAGACTTGCTGGAGATGTACTGTAGGAGCATGGTGAGTGGGAGCTGGGGTAGGAAGAACATTCTGGGCAGAAGCAATAGCATGGGCAAACCCCTTGAAGGGAACAGAGCATGCTTCAACAAGGTCTCACCCAGTATTTACCGCCACTTTAAAATTAATTATCAGAGGTTCTGTGTCAGACAGGTTGTAATGCATTACATTGAAAATCCTGCTATGTCAAGATTTAATTGTAAGATTTATTTTGTAGGCCAGAAAGGCTTTCAAGGTCTGTGGTATTACGTTAAGGGGTGTGTGTGTGTGTGTAATGTGTGTTTTTAAACATGGACTGCTATATGGTAAATTATGGAATGTGAAATTATATTTTAATGGAATCATAAACCCTGATTGATTACAGGATGCCAGACATAAGGTATCTAAGGTGGCTAGGATATTCTGTCTTGCTGTCTGGCTAACCTCCTTTGATATTAGCTTGTGGGTACTTCCCACAAAAAGACACTTAAAGGTGGTTCTCAATCTTTGTGCTGCCTCTTTGGACACTGTTGCTTCTGTAACTTGTAAGAGGACCTTCAATTTCTTGCTCTTCTTTCTGTGACTCACTGCTTCACCAGACATAGTTTTATATGCAGGTGAAAATAGCTGGGATGTAGGATGAAATATACGAACAGTCTTTTAAAATGAATCAATAAGCTAGCAAGTAAATAAGGAAGCTTGGGATAAAAACCCCAGAGAAGGAGGAGGGACAGAATCTAACTTTTGCCAAACCCTATTTCACCTGGGCTGTGGTTCTCACACCCAAGACACAGAGGACAGGAGACAAGACCTAAGGGCCTACAAAAGATGTGAAGTCTATAAAGAAACCCCTCCCCAGTGCAAGGATAAACTAAGAATATACCAGTATTGTCTAGCCCTCTGCCGAGAGACCAGCTGAAACAAAACAAAACAAAAAAGATCCCTTTTGAACCATGGTGCTAGATTATGAGGACAAAACTGGCCCTGACAGGCTGGCATTCTAATGGGTTTTAGCACAAATTCATGTGAACTGGCATAGTATTAAAAATCCTCAAGTGGGGAGTTTAATTTTAAAGTGATTGCTATCAGGTAGTGCCTTCAGATCTCTGCCAGAGACAAACACAAATCGTTTTAGGAACAACCTACCTTCTAGCAAGGCTTCAAAGAATTCTTACAGATAACATTCCAAGAAATAATGAGCTCGTAGTAAAAACATTGACAAAATCCCAGCAGTAACAGAGTCGAGTCAGACCTGCCTAGAGAGACTATAGGTATTGGAATTACCAAGCACAGAATATAAAATTACGTGTAATGTGCTTAAATACCAAAAAAAGATCAAGCAGATTTTAAAAATACCAAATAATTTTGATAAATATAAAATATATATGTAATTGAAATTGAAGTAAACCCCAGATGGGTTTAGCAGCATTAGAGAATAAATGAATTGGAAGATAGATGTGAAGAAATTGCAAGAACATGGCCGAGACAGACAGGTGAAAAATGTGAAAGAGTTTAAGAGATGTACAGGTTGAAGGGAGACCTAATCAGCCTCAGAGCGGAGAATGAGACACTCTTTGAAAGGAGAGTGATGGAGATGTTAACAGAACTTGGCAAAATTCTAGTTCTCAAGTTAAGGAAGCCCAACAAATCCCAAGGAGGATTACTTTTTAAAACCATCCTTGCATTATAGCAAAACTGCAGAACATCAAAAAAAAATTTTTAAGCAGCCAGAGAAAAGACATTATTTATAAAGGAATATGAATTAGATTGATAGCAGACTTCTCAATAACCTCACTGGATGCCAAAGGATGATGGGATGATACAGTGACTTCAGAATGCATTAACATAAGGTTAATAAAAAGTTGCAAATAAAAGAAGGCAAAACATGAGACAAATGCAAAAACTCAAAACACTATATCAATGTAATATATATATATATATATATATATATATATATATATATATATAAAGGATGTGGTCTATATTAGTATCACACAAAATAGACTTTAAGGTAAAAACTGTTATTGAAGTAAAGGGAGCCAGTACATAATGATGAAATGTTCAGTTCACCAAGAAGATAATTCTGAACTTGTATACCCTTAATAAGATAGCCTCAAAATATATAAAGCAAAAATTGACAAAATTGCAAGGAGACAGGCAAATTCACTGTACTAGGAGATCTTAACATACTTCTCCAAGTAATTGATAGAACAATTAGAATTAAAAAATAAGTATATTAAAAAGTATACATAAAGACAATAGTAAATATATTTTTTAAAGTCTATGAAAACAATAAGTGTAACTGTTGACAGTTAATGTACATTATGAGCTTGCTGGAATGAATTTACATATAATCAGTAAGTAGACATGATTATTAAAGAAGACAAATTAGAAGACAAATAAATAAAAAAGTGAACTTTAGCAATCCTATCCACTAAACTGTGGTAAACAGCTTGATATAAATTCATGAATGATCAGATCATGTTGAAAGACATCAGTTTTATCCATGTCACTCAAATTCAGTGTAATACCAGTAAAAATACCTATTTTTTTTACTTATGGAACTTAACAAGGAGATTTTAAATTTTAAATCAAAAGGATAAAAGGCCAAAAACAGTCAAGATGCCCCTAAAACAATAAATTACCCAAGAGGTGGGAGTGGGTGTTGGGATGGCAAGGGGCTTACTTTAATCTAGAATTATTCTAAAACTAAATTAAGACATGATGGTTTGGGCAAGGAATAGAGAAATGGACCATTATAATAAAGAGCCCTAAAATATACCCACACTTATGTGAAACATTTATTTATGACAGTACTGGCTTTACAGATGGAAACAATAGATTTTTCAATAAGTAATGTGGGGACTATTGGTTATCCATATGGGAAAAAATTAAAATTGGACATCTATCCCGTACTGTGTAAAGGTTTAAATGTAAAAGGGAAAACTATAATATTTTTAGAGTTTATATATAGAGAAAGAATATATTTATGGCCTAATGAACACTTAAGCCACTCACAAGAAAACATAAACCTTTTGTAAAAAAACTGGTAAACAGGGCTATGTTAAACTTAAGAACTTTATCATAAGAAGGTGAGAAAAGGGGACGCTATGAAGAGGGAGATGACATTTGCAACATGCATAACCAACAAAAAACTAGTATAGACAACATGTAATGAAAGAAAAACTCAGCCTGATAGAAAACTCAACAAAGCACTTGAGCAGTCCTTCAGTGAGAGGAGACACAGCCAGTGAGTCTAAGGCGGGAATTCAGCCTCATCAGCCATCAGGGAAACAGTGCAGCCACTGTGCGCCATCACTTTCCTCCTGCAGAGCTCTCCTAATCAGCATTGATGAGAATGTCAAGCCACTGGGCCTCTTACAGGGCCTGCTGGGAGTGCTTGTTACACTTGGAAAGCAGTGTGTGCTAGAAAATGCGATTTCCACTCTGGGTTTTGAGTAGCAAAGATCTGAAAGCAGTCCAGATATCCATCAATAAATAGGTTGATACCATCGCACAGTGGGGTGTCATGTCACAGTGGAAAGTAATACCATACAATGGCATGGATGAATCTTAGCACCTAACTTTTCAATATTTTTTCTTTCTTCTTTTTAATTATTATATGGTAAAATAGACCTTTTGGGGGAGATGTACAGTATTAGGAATTTTAACACGTCTAGATTCGTGTACCACCACAATCAGCACACAGAACAGTTCTGTGACCCTATAAAACACCCTTGTGCAAGCTGCCCTTTATAGTTACATCTCCCCAGCGCTGCACCCCTCACAGCCATGTGTCTGTTCACCATTGCTCTAGTTTTGTCTTTTCAAGAATGTCATGTAATGGGAATCACATAGTATCTGATCTTTTGAGACTGGCTTCTTTCACTCAGCTTAATGCCTTTGAGATACATCCAAGTTGTGTGCACCAACAGTTTGTTCTTTTTATTGCTGATTAGTGTTCCCTTGTATGAGTGTACCGCAGTTTGTTTATCCATTCACTCACTGAAGGACATATAAGAGTTGCTTTCAGTTTTGGGTGGTTATGAATACAGCTACTATAAACATTTGTGTCCAGATTTTTGCTTGAACATACCCAGCAGTTGTTGGGTCATATGGTATATGTACATTTAAGAAACTGTCAAACTGTTGTTTTCCAGAGTGGCTGTATCATTTGCATTCCCAGCAGCAATGTGTGAGAATTCCAGTTGCTCTGCATCTTCACCAGCACTTGGTATTATCAGTATTTTTTATTTTAGCCATTCTAATAAGTGTATAGTGGTATGTCAGTGTGGTTTTAATTTGCATTTCCCTAATGGCTAATCATGTTAAACAACTTTTCTTGTGTTTATTTGCCATCCATATATTGTCTTTGGTGAAACATCTCTTTAAATCTTTTGCCTGCTTTTTAATTGGATTATTTGGTTTTTTACTTTTGAGTTTTAAGGGTCCTTTATATATTCTGGATACAAGTTCTTTGTTGAATATATGATTTACAAATATTTTTCCTAGTGTGTAGCTTCTCTTTCTATTCTCCTAACAGTATCGTTCACAGAGCAATATTTTCATTTTAATAAGTCCAATTCATAAACTTTTCTTTTGTGGATAGTGTTTTAGTGTTAAGTCTAAGAACTCTGTGCCTAATCTCAAGTCACAAAGATTCTCTCCTATGTTTCCTTCTAAAAGTTTTATAGTTTTACATTTTACATTTATATCTATGATCCAGTATCCAATAAGGTGTGATGTTTAGGGTGACGTTCATTTTTTTGCATATATATGTCCAATCGTTCCAGTATTATGTGTTGGATACTTTGTCCGTTGAATTGCTTTTGCATCTTTGTCAAAAATCAGTTGGCCAGGTAGTGTGATTCCTCCAACTTTATTCTTGTTCAGAGTTTAGAATTAGCTTGTCTATATGTACAGGAATGTCTCCTGGGAGTTTGATTGGAATTGCATGAAATCCATAGACCAATTTAGGAAGAATTGGTATCTTTAGTATGCTAAGTCTATAAACATGATATGTCTCTCCATTTATTTAGATCTTTGATTTTTCTCATCATTTTATAGTTTTCAGCGTGTAGATCATGTACGTGTTGTTTTTTTTTTTTTTGTTAACTTTATTTATTTGTTTTTCCCCCCAAAACCCCAGTAGATAGTTGTATGTCATAGTTGCACATCCTTCTAGTTGCTGTATGTGGAACTCGGCCTCAGCGTGGCCGGAGAAGCGGTGCGTCGGTGCGCGCCCAGGATCCGAACCCTGGGTCACCAGCAGCAGAGCGCGCGCACTTAACCGCTAAGCCACGGGGCCAGTCCGATCATGTACATGTTTTATTATATTTATACCTAAGTATTTTATATTTTTGGAGCTATTGTAGGTTTTTTCCGTTGTCTTTTTGGTTTACAGTTGTATGTTGTTAGTATATGGAAATACAGTTGATTTTTATTGTTGACCTTGTATCCTGCAACCTTGCTAAACTTACTTATTACTTTTAGGAGTGTTTTTTTTTTTTTTGTATATTTCTTGGAATTTTCTATCAATCATGTTGCCTGCAAATAGGAACAGTTTTATTTCTTCCTTTCTAATCTAGATGCTTTTTATTTCTTTTTCTTGTCTAAATGCCTTGACTAGAGCCTCCAGTATAAAGTTGAAGTGAAGTGGTGACAGTGGACATCCTTGTCTTGTTCCTGATTCTGGGGGCAGCATCCAGTCGCTCACCATTGAGTATGATGTTAGCTGTGGGTTTTTTGTAGATGTCCTTTGTCAGATTAAAGAAGTTCCCTTCTATTTCTAGTTTGCTGAGAGTTTTTATCATTAATGGATGTTGAATTTTGTCAGATGCTTTTTCTGAATCAATTGATTATGACCATGTTGTTTTTCTTTTTTTAGATTCTTAATATGGTGCATTACATTGATTTTTTTTCCACATTTTTGAATAGAGCAAAAGAAAAGTTTTATAAGAATGCTTCTAGGGGCTGGCCGCATGGCGTAGTGGTTAAGTTGGGCATGCTCCGCTTCGCTGGTCCAGGTTCACACGTTCAGATCCCAGGCACAGACCTACACCATTCATCAGCTGTGCTGAGGTGGCAACCCACATACAAAATAGAGGAAGATTGGCACAGATGTTAGCTCAGGGCTAATCTTCCTCAAGCAAAAAAAGAGGAAGATTGGCAACAGATGTTAGCTCAGGGTGACTCTTCCTTACCAAAAAAAAAAAAAGAATGCATCTAGTATGATTAAGAAAAGGAAAGTTCAAAAATGTGCAAAACTATCTATATTGCTTAGATATACTATATATGTGGTAAAACTATAAAGAACCACAAAGAGCTGATAGAGGCACTATTCAGGAAAATAGGCACCTTTGAAGTGGGAGCAGAGGGCAGCTCCTGGAGAAGCCACAGCAGCCCCCCAGTGTGGTGGTATTCTGATTTCTCTTAGCTGGTGCTTTCCCAAGACTTCAGGCCCCATATACTTCATAAATATTCTATTGAATCTACTTATCAGTCATGTGTGTATATTAAATACTTTCAAATTGGGGATCTTGTGTGGTTGACCTGCCAAAGAGTGTTGTGTGTAGCCTTCATTCCTGTGACACTGTGCTGACCACCACCTCTTCTCAGGAATCTCCAGAATCTGCTGATCCTGACCGCCATCAAGGCAGACCGCATGCGGGTCATGGAATACATAAGCCGCCTGGACAACTGTGATGCCCCAGACATTGCACGCATCGCTGTCAGCAGTGCACTGTATGAGGAGGCGTTCGCCATCTTCCGCAAGTTTGATGTGAACGCTTCTGCAATCCAGGTGAGGGTGAGCTGCTGAGTGCCATTGGGTTAGACCCTAGTGCCCTCTGCCATGTTGTGTCCTCATCATCAGCGAGGGCTCAGACCCTCTGGTTGTTCCATGCATCCCTCAAAGTCTTGTGCTCTTCTCTGCTCCTCACCAGTAACCCAGCTTCCCAGGCTATTGGCTTCTTCTCTGCTGGTGCTCCTTCTGTCTGGCTGTTACTCGTTCCCAGTCATTCCCCAACACTCTCCTAGACTGGGGTACCTGACATGAGGTCATGTGGTCAGCCCTGGTGACTGAGGTGTCTGATTCTCAGAGGCTCTCACATGTGATGGTTGTTCTAGCCCTTCAGCCCCATGCTACTTCAACTCCCCAGAGCAATCCTGCCAGCCCTCTTGCCTACCTTCAGTGTCACCAAGAACTCTTTCTTTAATCCTTATCCCTTTCCTCCCAGTCCGTCGGCCTTTTCTGGTTTTATTTCCAAATCGATTGTAAACCATGGAACATCTCTCTTTAACTGCTCTCTTACCAATATTCATTACGTCCTTGCCTCTTCCCTTACCATTTTTGTGTTCCTGCTGATGAAGCCTCCGATCTAGAAACCCCTCTTTTCGGTTCACACATGGGCTGTGGCCTTGCTCTGAGACCGGAATATAAGGCGAGTGGCTGCTGCACCCCAGACCTCCAGGCTGCCCTGCAAGCCTGTTTCTGCCTGATAAGCTATCTCATTCCCCACAGCGGCTCCTTAGAACCTTTTTACAGCCTGTATGCCCCCCCATACTGTCTCCCCTCCCAAGATCAGGAAGTAACTCTGGTGTCCTACCACTGGCCCAAAAAGTTTAGCCTGACCATCTCTATTTCTTTATGCCACTTTGTTGGAGTGTTTCTTCTCTGTCTGGCATCTCCCTCCCTGTACAACCGCTCTCATTCTTTGCCTCCATTCACTCATCTGAAAAATATTCACCAATTGCTTTGGACTATATGCACATTTAGGCAGAATATGGAACTGAACAGAAATCTATCTGCTCCCTAGAGCTGACTGGATGTTGCAGAGAATGAGAGCCTTTTGTACTCCCTAGGTTCTGATAGAGCACGTTGGAAATCTAGACCGAGCATACGAGTTTGCGGAGAGATGCAATGAGCCTGCTGTGTGGAGTCAGCTGGCCCATGCCCAGCTCCAGAAGGACTTGGTAAAGGAAGCCATCGACTCCTACATCAGAGCTGATGACCCTTCCTCTTACCTGGAGGTCATTCAGGCAGCCAGCAGAAGCAGTAAATAAACCTCTTCTCCACAGGGTTCTGCCTCTCACTGGTATGAAGCTTGGCGAGGCAAGCGTACAGCCCTTCCAGCGATCTGCACATATTATGCATCCAGAGATGTTGGAGACACATTGAGTGAAAGTTTTCTAAAAGAGTCTGAGATAAACATTATTTCGTTAATGACACTAGCTCTTCAGTTGACTGTTACCCTCTTTTAAAGACTAGACAGTTTAAGCACAATGGATATCACTCTTATAATAACTTTAAGGTAAGAGACTTGGACCCAGTGTTTCTTCTGGCCTTCCCAGTTGATTGTGGCACCAGCTTTTCCAGTGGCTGGAATAAGCATCCCATCTCCTGGGGAGGTCTTTACTTGGTGACATGGAGGTTCCCATCCCCAGGGGCAGCTCCCATGTAGTTCTGCCCCTTCCCCTTCTCCCACCTGGGATAGGGCTCTGCTTAGCTGGCCAAGTCCAAGACCTTTTAGACATTACCTGGAGCCCAAGCCCTCAGTGAGGCAGAGTGGGAGGAATTGAGCCCCATGTTTAAACTTAGCAGCTCTGAGTTAACCTATTTTTGTTTTCTATCTCTAGACAATTGGGAGGATCTGGTTAAATTCCTGCAGATGGCCAGGAAAAAGGGCTGCAGATCCTATATAGAGACTGAACTAAAACCAGCTGTCTGTCTGAGCTAGAAGATTGTATTAATGGACCCAACAGTGCTCACATCCAGCAGGTAGGCTGTGCCCCGCAAGACTCTGAACTGCTGCAGGCAGGTTCAGGGATTGCTCCCTAGAGTGGTGCAGATCTGTGATGATGGGAAACAAGCCACACGGTGAATTAAGTCCCTTGTTACTGTCATTGGTATGGAAGTTAAGGCCCCTAGCTATGCACCTCAGAATGATTCTTCTAGAAAAGAAGGTGTCAGGACTGTGTGCAGGTATTCTAGCTGTTACCACTGGAACAAAGTGAACTGAATAACTGGCCAAACAGAAGAGATATGTTGAAAATTAATAGCTTTCCCATATGTCAGCAATTATCAGATAACATAATGGGAAAAAAAATCCTTTTTAAATAGGAACAAAACCAAAATGTTAAATAAACCTTCGCAAAAAAAAAACATTAAATACAAGTAAAGATCTAAATAATTGTAAAGTCTGCCATTTCCAGGGATAAAATGTTAGCCCTGCAAAAAGTGATGAAGAGAGACAAGGGCTGATGGACAGTGCACTGTAACTCTATAGAACGTGCAAGTGCATCTTCCTGGAAGGATGCACACGCCTCATTGAAATAAAGAGCACAGAAGTGCACTTTGGATTTTTTATTTCAAAGTAAATTCCAATGAATTGTTGGAAATTAGATTAGAGTTTTGAAAGAGGTTAAACGTTTGTTATGTAATTCTGTAACCAAAATTAAATTCCAGAGGAAAGAATTAAAGGTAAAAGTTTAAGGTTTTTTTCTTAATAAAAATTTTTAAATATTTATCTTTGTGTGAGAAAGGAATTTTTAAGCATATAAGCAATGGAAGAAAGCACAAAGGAAAATATCAGTTCATCTAATGCACAAAAATTTTAAACATATGTATATTCCTAATCATGGACCTTGTAAGTCCAGATGTAAAAATCCATCTCAAGAAAGTAGAAAAGGTCCAGATGGCTTTACATAGAAACATTTAATCATTGCAGCATGATTTATGCTGATAAAAATTGAAAAGCAATGTCCAGCAGAAGGATATAAATAAACAGCGTTCATTAATGGATATAATACAGCCATTACAAGTATTTAGAACCTCGTTTGAGGGCCGGCCCCGTGGCTTGGCGGTTGAGTGCGCGCGCTCCGCTGCTGGCGGCCGGGGTTTGGATCCCGGGCGCGCACCGACGCACCGCTTCTCGGGCCATGCTGGGGCCGTGTCCCACATACAGCAACTACGAAGGATGTGCAGCTATGACATGCAGCTATCTACTGGAGCTTTGGGGAAAAAAATAAATAAATGAATTATAGAACCTTGTTTGTGATAGAAGAACCTTTCAATGTAAGTTCCAGCAGAGTGAAAACCTGCATGTACGATACAATAAAAACATCAGCCTAGCAAAACACCCAAGATGGGGACAGTGAACAACTCTGAGATATGGAATTGGGTGATATTATATTATTATTTTCCTTTTACTTGCCTGTGTTTGCCAGGTTCTTGTTTAAATCAGTGACCATAACTTTTATTTATTTATTTTTTTTGGTGAGGGAGATCAGCCCTAAGCTAACATCCGTGTTAATCCTCCTCTTTTTGCTGAGGAAGACTGGCTCTGAGCTAACATCTATTGCCAATCCTCCTTTTTTTTTCCTTCCCCAAAGCCCCAGTAGATAGTTGTATGTCATAGTTGCACATCCTTCTAGTTGCTGTATGTGGGACGTGGCTCAGCATGGCCGGAGAAGTGGTGCGTCAGTGCACGCCCGGGATCCCAACCTGGGCCGCCAGTAGCGGAGCGCGCGCACTTAACCGCTAAGCCACGGGGCCGGCCGCAGACCATAACTTTTAAAATTACCTTTGTAACCAAAAAATTAATAAAAGTGTTAGAAAACAAAACCTTGCGCAAAATCTCCCTCTGAATTCATAACAGGATTCTCCTGGCTGGAGAGTCTATTAAGCAGGATAGTCGAACTGCAGAAGTGAAATCCCACCTGGCGACTGGCCAGACTGGGGAGTGCAGATGGCTTGTCTTGTTCTTCACCTCTTTGTTCATGGCAGCCCCAACATCGGGCGTGCTCCCTGCCTTCCACAGTCCTCCAGGACGGGGTCAGTACACTTCAGCCAGATCCAGCCCACTGCCTGTTTTATGTGTTTCCCATAGTCTGGCTTCTGCTGGCTGCATCTCCGTGATATCACTTAACTTGTTTTCCCTGTATTTTCTGTAAATTGGCAGTAATAGCGGTCTTAAATGATCATATCCTTTGATGGAGTACTTCATTTATTGATCCATTCAACAGACTTTTATTGAGAATCTACCATGTGTCAGGACAGGGGCTGTGGATGCACCTGTGGAAATAGTAGTCAATTTCTGTCCTTGGGGATCTTAAGATCCATTCAAGAAATCTATGGTATGTTAAATTGTAAGTGTAAAGGAGGAAAGTGCAGCAGGGAGTGGGTGGGCAGTGTTAGGGCAGATGATGGGTGTGAAAGTGGGCAGTTCTAGACAGGGTGGCTGGGAAGGTGTCCTGGAGATGAGTCCTGGACTCTGCATCCCTCTGAGGAAAGAGACCTGAGAGCAGACAGGACAGCCGGTGCCAGGGCCCTGTGAGGGAGAGTTTGAGTGTGTTGCCGGAGCAGTGCAGAAATGGCCCAGGTGGCTGAAGCAGAGCAATCCAATTCCATAGGGCTTTGGAGTTGAAGCCAAAGAGGGCACGGGTGGGGAGAGGCTGTTCTTGGCGCCACTTGTTGGGACTTGTGGGCCATTGGCAGGACTCTCGCTTCCACTTGGGTGAGACTGGAGGATCCTGAGCAGAACAATTAACAGAAGCCCTCTGGCTGCTGTGCAGAAAACAGACTGAAAGACAAAGGCAGGAGTAGTGGTTAAGCACGTCCGCTCCACTTTGGCAGCCCGGGGTTCCTGGGTTTGGATCCCGGGCGTGAGCCTGGGCGTGCACCGACGCACCGCTTGTCAAGCCATGCTGAGGCGGCATCCCATATAAAGGGGAGGAAGATGGGCACAGATGTTAGCTCAGGGCCAATCTTCCTCAGCAAAAAGAGGAGGATTGGCAACGGATGTTAGCTCGGGGCTGATCTTCCTCACACACACACACAAAAATTTAAATAAATACAAAGGCAGAAGCAGTGAGAGCAGATAAGAATTGATGATAGCTCAGAGAAAGTAGTCGAGGTAAGTGGCAGAGAGCTTCTGATGAGTGTGGTGGAGGTACCAGGGTTGCTGGTGGAGTGCCTGTGAGAAGAGAGGAAGCGAGGCGACTCCGTGCCTTGGGGCGTGGGACAGTCCTGGACTAGGCAGATGCACTTGTGCTTACTAATGTGGGGGGCAGTGTGTGAAGCCTGCCCCAGGGGGAGTCAGCACTCACATTAGGACAAGTTTGACCTCTACTCGACGTCCACGGGTGTCTGTCCAGCTGGATATAGGAGTCAGGTTTCCGAGGAGAATTCTGAACTAGAGCCATAAATGTGCCAGTCTTCAGTGTGCAGGTGACGCTCACAGGGTAAGGGAGTGGGGGTAGAGGGGCTGAAGCCTCAGACCAGGGTACGTCAAAGCTCAGGGTCAGGGGAAAGTGGAGATGGAAAGTGGCCAGGAAGGTGGGAGAAAAGCAGGGGGCGGAGGGGGGCCTTCCAGGGACCCAGTAGGCATCTGTCAGGGAGAGCAATGGGTAAGCCAGATGCTGCATATCACAAGCTGGAGACTTGGCAGCAATGACCCTGCTGGGGAGTCGGCAAGAGCCTGGTGCAGCGGGTTCCAGAGAAGACAGGAACAGACGGCACTTAAGACACACGGACACCTCTTCTGAGAAATGTTGCTCTAAAGGAAAGGGTAGAAACAGCGTGGTAGCCGATAGCTAAGCTGAGGTCAGAGTGAGAATGGTTTGGTTTGGTTCTGAGCTGGGGAAAATAACAGTGGTTCCTTAAGCTTATAGGAGTAGTTTAGTACAGAGAGCGAAATCACTTGCAGGGGCTTGCGAGATGCTGACCTGGAGCAGGAAAGGGGACTGGGGTCATGTGTGCCAGTAGAGTTGGCCATGGTGGCTGGGTGAGGGTCATAGATGCAATGAGGGGACAGGCACGTCTCAGTGCTCGTCTGGTTGTGTCTGTTTCATCAGGAGAGGGGAAGCCAGGTCTTCAAGTTGAGGAGCTGTTGGAGACTGGAGGAGAGGATAGGAAATGGTTGACAAGGAGACAGTACCTGGACTGAGGGAGTAGGGTAGGCAGTGTTGTGAGCTCCTCTGGGGTTAGTCTCAAGTTCACGGGAGACCAGTGGCACTTTGGGGTTCGGCCGTCTATGTTTAGCTGCTCAGTCCCAGGTGTGGAGTCGGTAGAGAACTGCTCTAAGCAAGACTGAGGCCAAGTGAGTATAACCAAGTACAACTGAGGAAGTTGCCGCGGGAGGAGCGTAGGCCGCGAGCAGACGGGCATGCTGGTTTGGAGTTGAGGTGCTGGAAGGGAGGGGAGGCTGCAGGCAGAGAGTGGGTTGTTATGCCAGGGTTCCTGGGGGTGGCAGCTTTCTGACAGTAACTGGCTGTTGTCGTGAGGGACAGGAGGTCCTCAGAGCAGAGGAGGTCGAAGAAAGCTAAAGCTGTCAGGGAACGAGAAAGGTCTGTGGATGGCAGCAGGAATGAGAGCTGGTGGGTAATCCCCGGCCTGCATGAGATTCCCAGTTGTTAGGAGGAAGGGAGCGGCCTGGAAGCAGCAGGAGGACGCCTTAGTGCCTGGCCTCCTGGGCCACAGGTGTGAGTGATGACAGCCAGTGCACGCAGGAGCGGGCAGGTAGAGAGCAGGGCCAGGGGCTGGGGGCACCCTCCGTCCTCCAGGAGCTCTACAGTGGCCCAGGCTGCTGCATGATCAGATAGATACTCACCTTCTCTGAAAACAGAAAATGCCCCTGCTGCTTAATAACTTCAGACCAACCCTGGGGAATCTTCCCGTTAAGAGAGTCTCAGCAGAGCTACACGATTGTTCGTAGGAGGGAGACCACTGTAACAAGGAGGGAATGTACGAGGCTGCCAAGCTGCTGTACAGCAGTATTTCTAACTTTGCCCTCCTGGCTTCTACCCTGGTCCACCTTGGGGAGTATCAGGCAGCGGTGGCCAGCAGCACACGGACGTGGAGGGGGGTAAGTATAGGAAGTCTCCGGGAGAGTCCTGGTCTACCAAGCCTTCCCACCTTGTCCTTCCTTCTGTGCTCCATACCCTGGTGCCAAGGGGGATGCGTCTGGATGGCTGCCTTGTCCAGGCAGGGTTCTGAGTCCTTCAGATGGCTCAGAGAACCTTGCAAGCTAGCATTTGTGGTTGAAGCAAAGGCCCCAGGGAACCCCATGTTGGACCAGTCAGCTCCCAGAAGTCGTCTTAATAGCGCGGAGTTATCAGTATTATAAGTAGTGTCATAACTTAAAATATTTTTAAAAATCATATCACTTTATTAGCATAGTAAGTGTCAATTGCTCTTATTGGTTTTTTGTGGTGAATTGGTAGGGCAAGTTGTCTTGAAGCTCTTTGATAATATCAGAAACATCTGTGAGTGGAAAAAAGTTTGTAAAGAGATGTGGAAAAGATTTTGCTTCAATGAATCTGAAGCATTGTTTAATAAAAGATTAAAATCAAATGTCCAGTATAAAAGGCCTTGGTTAGATAGTGCGACTCTACCTGCCATTCAGAATGAATAGGCAGAGTTACAGGAGAGGGTGTTTCCAGTATTCTGTGAAAAATAGGTTGTAAGTAGAATGACCAGTGTAATTCCATTCTGTGTGTGTGTGACTAGGAGAGAGAGAGAGATCTGGTAGATGCTGCTGTATACATCACACAGAAAATAGTGGGCAAAGATCATGTCTCGAGGTAACAACTGGTTATCTCTGGGTTGTGTGACTATTTTTACCTGCATTTTCTGCCTTACCTACTATGCAAACATGTGCTGTGTGTAGAAGGTGGGGAAATTGTATGAGAAGCAAGCTTTGCTTTGAGGGAGGGGGTCTCTCTGGTCAGCCCTCAAAAGAACTGCAGCTCAGGGGCCCCTCCTGAATCCTTTTGAGTAGAAGCATCTTTCTGCACAGGGGGGTTCTTCACTTCTTAACACTTGTTATCATGAAGTGTACATGCTGCGCAGTGCCTAAAACAAAAGCACAGTTTAAAAGAAATTATTAAAGCAAGCTCCTGTGTAGACAGCACTCGGGTGAAATGCTCTGATAACACTTATTCTTGAGCTTTGTTAAACCCTTTTCAAACCCAAAACCTGAAAGTCCAGCATCACTTTCTTGTCACCTAAACAGACCTCCACATCTCAGGGCTTAGAAGTAATGCATGAGCTCTCTTCTCTTCTGTGGTCTCAAACTCAAACACGCCCTTGGCCTGCAGACTAGAAATGTCATTATTTTTTTGCCGCATCTCATGCAGCTCATCTTAAAATTATCTACTTGTTCAGAATCTGACTTAAAAAGCCCCATTTGCTGGTATTTCTGCATTTGCAGTTGCATCCCTCGTAGCCAGCTGCTGTGGTGCTGTGCCCTGTCTCGGGCATGCTCATGCTGTCTGGCCTTGCCTCCCCTAGGTGTGCTTTGCCTGTGTGGACGGGCAGGAGTTCCATCTCGCACAATTGTGTGGTCTTCGCATCGTCATTCATGCAGATGAGCTGGAGGAACTGATACGCTGTTACCAGGTAACTAGTCTCTGGCCAGAGATGATCTCTGCTGGCAATGGAGATGATGAATGACACCTAAACGCTGTAAATAAAGGGGCAGTTGTTCTGTTAGTATGTGTTACATCTGCAGATAAGCATTGTCTGTATGAAAATACTTTCATGTGCTAAACAACCTGTCTATACATTAAATCAGATTGGCATGTTAGATATCCTGGACCTCGTTGCTGGCTGATATTTGTGTTTTTAAAAGTACTCTCCCTCCTCTTGTGTCCTTGGACCTTCAGAAGCCCAGTCCATGGCTTGCACATGGGGACAACCCTTGGGTAACTTGCTGAGAATACCATGCCAGTTATGGCCGAGCAATAGCCTACACCCTAGTTCCCCAGAGCGTGTGGCCCACAGAGGGTATGAGTATGGAATGCCTTAGAGACAGAGAACATGCAAGAGTCCAGGACAAGGAACTCCAGGGAGACCTTTGGAAGGGTGTTGGTGTTGTAGTTACGCTTCACTGTCGAGTGGTTGACAGACAGACATCATTGTGTTCAGGGCCTGGGCCTGCGCCCATGGGAGCCCTGGAGCTGTGTGGTCAGACCAGGTGGGGTCAGTCAAGGCAGGCTAAAGATTTCACTTTGGTCAGCGGTGTTACCATCCCCATGGAACTCGAGCCCCAGCCCCCTCACTGAGGGGACAGTAGCCTGGAGGGGGCTTAGTGAGTTGCAGGGCTCGAGGAGCCTCTGATCCTGTGAAAGCAGGTGCACCAAGGACCAAAACATCAAGCTAGGCTTGATGACTTTTCAGTGACATATACTTTCCTATTCCACAGAAGTTTGAAAAATGAATTATAAAGCAAACAGGGAAAGGAATAAAGCAGTCCGGAGGCTGACAAATAGAATCCTTTATTTGTTCAGCAAACGTTTAAGCACCTTCTATGTTCTGGGCATTATTCTAAATAATGTATCAGTGAACAAAACAGAAAAAACCCTATTTAGTTGAGTTTACATTCGGTGAAGTTGACAGACAACAAACAAGTTTGAAGGTGATGAGTTATGGGTGAAATGGAGCAGGTCTGGGGACCGGGAGTGCCTGGGTGGAGCTTCATAAAGGGGCCATCAAGGTAGCACTAATGGAGAGGACAACATTGAGCAGAGACCTGGAGAAATGAAGGGGCCTGGTCATGGGGATATTTGAGGTAAAGGTCAGCGGCCAGGGCAGAGTCCAGAGGCGGGAACATGCCGAGTATTCAAGGAAGGGCCCTCAAGGTGGAGGAAGGACTTGGGGGCGGGGGGCACAGGCCATCATGAAGGACTCAGGCTGTACTTGCTGTAGGAGACAGGATCTGAAGGGTGAGGGGCCGATCTGGCTTGTGTGCTGAGAACAGGCTCTTCCAGGGGTGAACAGACAGAGGGGCAGACAGAGGGGCAGGTGGAAGCTGAGAGAGAAGCCGGGGTGGTGGTGATGTGGGGGTGAGAAGTGATCATCAGGTGGTCAGGTTTGGGTGGTGGGGTGGGGGTTGATTGTGTAGCCAACTTGATATGCTAGTGTTTGGGGTATGGGGTGAGAGAGAAAAGTCAAGGATGACTCCATTTATTTTTGGCTTGAACAACTGGAGATAGAGAGTTATCATCAGTGGACATGGGGAAAACAAAAGGTGGAGACTTTGTGGAGGGAAGGGCAGGACATACTAAGTTTGAGCTGCCAATTGGATATTCAGATAGTGTCAGGTAGACAGTGAGAAATAGGGGCTGGTGTTCAGTGGAGAAACCCAGCTAGAGAAATAAAATGGGAGCTGTTGACATATAGATGGTACATAAAGACTCGAGATTGAATGGGATCCCCCTGGGAGTGAGTGTAGATAAAGAAGAGACCACAACCTGAGCCCTGGGCCCTCCAACAGGAGTTACAGTAAAGTAAGAAGAAACCCCAGAGAGTGTGATGTCCGAGCAGCCAGTGAACAGGTGTCCCCAGGAGAGGGAAGTGGTCAGCCAAGTGGGGTCCTGCTGCCAGGCAGATGACAGGAGAAGGAGAACTGAGAATGGAGGACACTGGTGACCGTGAGTCCTGGGGGCCAGACAGCTTGACTTGGTTGGCTCGTGAGAACAGGGAAAGGAATGGGAACAGCTATTTTGAGGAGTTTTTGCTGCAAAGAGTAGAAAATTGGGGTGGTAGCTGGTAGGAACATGGGGTCAAGAAAGGGCATTTTAGGACGGGAGAATTAGCGGGAAGTTTGCTGAAGCCAAACTGTAGAGAGGGACATTGATGAGAGAGAAAACGGGGGGACCTCTGTAGACGGGAGGTGATGGGACCTAGAGCTACAGGCTCGTGGGTTCGAAGCAGGAGCACAGATGTATGCCTGTAGACAGAACGTGGGCACAGATGCTGGCAAGGGCTAGACGCGGCGTTTTCTTCTAACGACGTCCATTTTCTCAGTGAAGCAGGAGCAAGGTTCTCCACTGAGAGTGAAGACGGAGTGAAGGGGGTGTGACATAGTCCTCTAGGGGTGGCCCTCCGTGTCTGTGGTCATTAATATGAAGGGAGTCAGTCAGACTCAGGGTTTAGACATGCTGAGCAGGCTACAACCAGGGTGCACGACCAAGAGGGAGTTGGGGCTGGCAGCCATCATACGCCTTCCCTCCCTTTGGAACGGGCTCTGCTGTAGGGAGGCTGCGGTCGGGTGCATTTGCCCCTACCCAAAGCTAGGCTGTTGGTCTGTCAGGATCAGGGCTACTTTGAGGAGCTGATCTCCTTGCTGAAGGCAACCCTGGGCCTGGAGCGGGCCCACATGGGCATGTCACAGAGCTGGCCATCCTCTACTCCAAATTCAAGCCGCAGAAGATGCAGGAACACCTGGAGCTCTTCTGGTCCCGTGTCAACATCCTGAAGGTAATCTGGCCCTCCTCAAGGTTCTGGCTGCCGTATGCATGCCTGGCACAAGCTCGACCCTCGGCCGTGGCCGTCCCGCCAGGTGCTGAGAGCTGCGGAGCAGGCGCATCTCTGGGCAGAGCTGGTGTTCCTCTATGACAAATACAAGGAGTATGACAGCGCCGTGCTCACCATGATCAATCACCCTGCTGATGCCTGGAGAGAAGGGCAGTTCAAGGACATCATTACCAAGGTAAGAGGGCCTTTGTGGCACTGGCTCCTGCCCTGCAGGGCAGGAGCGGTGAGTACCAGTATGTGCGTCCCAGGGCCTGTTTGCTTTCCTCTCAGTGATTCTCGCCATCCCCTGGGCAGGTGGTGGTGATTCCATCTGCACAAAGGGAACTGATGTTTAGGAAGGGTAGTGACTGGCCCAGGGCCTCACAGCGAGGCTGCGGCAGGGAGGGGTCAGTGTGCCACTGTGGCCCCGCCTGCCCCTGCTGCCTCCCAGGACCACACTCCCCCAGCTCGCTCCTGTGCTGCGCCCTTCACAGCTAGACCTTGGTGTTTGCTCTTCCTTCTGCCATCAGCTCAGGACTCCCAGCCCCAGCCCATGTCTACCACCATTCCTGTTGTATTATTTCATGTTTTTCATCATATGGAATATTTTTTCTTCATGTCTCTCTCCACAAAACTGCCAGCCCTGGAGGAATGCAGGCACCTGACACTGGCAGTGAACACTCATCAAGTGGAGCCATGATTTCAAGCCAGCTGGTCCCTGGGTCCCCACCCTTCCCAGGAGTGGCCACCCTCCTGTAGTCTAGCTGGGCTAAACCGGGGTCCCGAGCTGTTCCGCCAGCTGCCAGAAACTGTTGGAAGGTGTCAGGCTTGGGTGTGAGCACCAAGCAGACATCTGCTATTTTGTGTTTCTGGTCTCTGAGTGGGCCTGGCCTCTCCTCTGTTGAGCTCCACACATGTTAGAAGGTGAGGAGATGCAGCTCTCTGCCTTCGGTCTCTGGGCCTTTTGCGTTGAGTGTCCTCATTTTGTCCCAGTGGCCTTGTGTGAATAATCTGGCCACAGGTCTCTCCTGTCTGCTGTCTGCCAGTGAAAGGTAGCATTCTGATTGCATGTCTGTCCCACCACTCCCAGGGTGGGGGCGTGGGCTCCTCTACATCTGGGTCAGGGATGGCAAGCTGGTGCCTCTCGTGTGTCTTCTGTTCCACATACAGCTGCAGAGGGCGGGTGTGGGTGGCGGGTGGGGGGTGCCCAGCCAGGTCTCAGCGTCTGCCCTCCTAGGAGCTGTAGAAGGAACAGTCAGCCCGGAGGTCACGCATATCCGCACTATTCAGCATGGTGGTATGTGAAGTCAGTGGCCGTCTTCCAGCACGTCTTGCCCTGACTGGGGACTGCAGGTTGCTGGTGGAAGGGTGGGCAGATCATATGTGCCCGTGCCCCTGCAGGTGCGAAAAACATGCTGGAGAGCCCATACCTGATCAATTCTAGGCAGGCTTTTTTCACATGTAACTTCTCTGATATCGGGGTTAAAGTCTGCATCTTAAAGTTGATGGCATGCCATGGAGTTGGCAGTGCTTTTTGCTGCTTAGCAGTGTCTGGGCATTGTAGTTGTCCAGGCCGCTGATGTACCCCATTACCTGAGTGCAGTCTGCCGTGATGGTGTCAGGTCAGCAGACTCCTGAGAGGTGGAGCTGGTCAGTGTGGCATCTTTGGTCTGATGATGCAAGCTCACGATGAGACTATTGTGTGGGAAAGCAGTGTTGGTACAGCTGACAGCCGGGTCTTGTTTTGGTGTGACGCAGTATGCCATGCGGGAGGCAGACACTTGTCAGCTCACATGTGGAGGAGAGGCAGGGTGGACGACACTAGCTGCTATGGTGGCCCAACAGAGGGGACATGGTCTGCACTCTGGGGACAAAAGGGGAGGGCTTTGTACTCGCCTGCCCACTAGGCTGGGTGGTGGAGGGCTGGACAGAGGCCTTGCTGATACAGACCAGGGTTGCATCTCAGCTCGGCCGTTTGCTGTCTCTGTCACTTTAGGGTGGTGTCATTGCTGTGAATCTTGGTTGCCCCACCCATCAAACGGACATAATGTTTCCTGCCTGCCAAGTGACCAGCGGCAGGTGCCTGGCATTCACTAGGTGCTTCTCACAGGTAGTACAACATGTGTCAGGAGCCAGAGCACTCGGGCTGATCACACTTGAGCTCATGACAGAACCTCTGAGCCTTGGTTTTCTCTTCTGCAAAGCAGAGATAATGCCATGTCCCCGGGCCCGGGGCTCTGTGGAGACGAGGTGCTCAACATGTGTGCCACGGGCTTGGGGATGGCCGTCCTTACCAGCTGTGCAGGTGGGCAAGGCCTTGCTGGTGCTGCTGTCCCAGTACATGGCTCCAGAGGAGGGTGCTGCGCAGATGCCAGTGCCCCAGCGGGAGCAGCAGTTGCTCCAGAGGGCCGTGAAACCGCTGCATCCTGAGGGCACCAGGTGCCTCTAGATGAACAGCTCAGCCCAACACAACACATGTCCATGGACACACCTACCCAGAGGGGCTGGGCCAGCTCTTGTCCAGCCCCACGATCACCGCAGCACTGGGAAGGGAGCGTGGCAAGTCAGGCTCTATCTTGAGCTGTCCACCTGGAGGGACACGGGCACTCTGGCCATGCTTTAGTGAAGAAGCCCGCACAGACGTGTTCAGAAGGCTGGCAAAGCACATGGTCCTGTGTGCCCTGGCGGGAGCCAGCCAACTACCACCTCTGCCAGTTCTTCTGCCGTGCAGAGGGCCAGGGCCTCCCCCGGGGTGCACTGCACACCTGCGGAGAGCCTCAGAGAGAACGGCTTGTCCTTTCACACGATCCTGTCTCGTCCCATAGTCCTCCTACAAGTGTTGTTAGCAGGAGGCCTGCCAGTGGGGCTTAAACGAGGCAGCTCTCCACGGAAGGTGAACTCCAGCCCCAGTGCCCATACCCCTCGACCCCACCTTATGTGCCAACAGGCCCTTCTGCTTGTTAGACGTCTGGTCTGGCTGGAGACCCTGATCCGGCCCCATACTGCTGAGTCAAAGGGCCAGCCTGGAAGAACAGCAGGTTCCAGAGCTCTGATGCAACTGTGCCCACAGCAAGGGTCACCGCTCTCCTCTGCGTCCACGGGGCGGGCGCTAGGGACCCCACGGCTGATCTAGGTCAGAATCTGTGGTGACAGTGAGTGGTGTGGTCTGAGAGGGACACATCTGAGTCGGGGAGTAGAGAGGAGAGTAAAGCTGTCAGTAACTGGTGCGAGTATAGTAACCACCAAGGCTGTGGACGGTCCCGTTCCTTCGCCTTTCCATCTGCAGACGTCACTGGGCCCCACGTTGTGGCCGGCTCACCTGAACCCAGCGTGGCTGGAGGGCTCGCACTGCGCCCACCCCCTCCTCCCAGCATGGCTTTAGCGTCACAGTGCACCCTTTGCGCACTCCTGGACCTCTGCACCCTCCTGTGGACACGCTTATCACCGCCAGCCTCACACATGTCCTTCTGGAGGGCAAGAACTGCCTTGCTGTCCTCTAAATGCCAGGCCCTGCAGTCAGCAAGCCTGGGAGGACAGCCTTCCCGTGGGCACAGGGTCAGCCCGGAGCAGCTCAGCCCTTCTCTGCTGACCAGGGCTGCCCGTCTGAGCACCACGGCATCTTGCCAGAGAGCAGTGGGGATGTAATAGAACGTGTTAATGGATTTGCTTACGGCTCAGGCTGAGCTTTGCAAGGAGGGTTAGGGGAATCTTGCTTAGGTAAAACTATCTTTTGGTGTTTGGGTGTATTCTGGCTTATTACCCCTCGTTCATTCTCTCAGCAGACACTGGCTGAGTGTCGACCCCATGTCAGATACCGGGGTGAGGCAGGAAACAAAGGTCTGCCTCTTAGGTCATCGAGTGGCAAGTGCTGAGGAAAAGAATGTCTCGCAGAGACAGGAAAGGGGGATGTCAGGAGAGGGGGCTCAGACTTGTGAGGGGCGGTCACGGCCGGCCTCACTAATGAAGTACATCTGAGCAAAAATCAGAAGGAGGCACAGTGGAGTGTGCAGCATCTGAGGCAGGTGAGTGGGGCCGAAGGGCAGGGGCTGACCCTCAGCTCGGCCCCCACCCGCAGGTCGCCAACGTGGAACTCTTCTATAAAGCCTCGCAGTTCTATTTGGATTACAAATCTCTGCTCATCAACGACCTGTTGCTTGTGCTGGCGCCCCGGCTGGACCACACCGGGACTGTTGGCTTCTTTTCAAAAGTGAGTCAGCCAGAGCCCTGGGGCCAGAGAAGCGCGTGACGGGCTAAGGTCATCTAAGTGGTAGTACCTTAATAAATCGTATTTGAAATTGATCCCCAGCCAATTTAAAGATTAAATGTATCAAGTTACTTTAGGTTTCAGATACAGTTTTGCATTCCAGCCAGAATGTCCGCAGGTGAAATTGGTGTCTGCCGAGTAACCCGAGCTGCCCTTTTTGCGTGAGCGCGCGTAGGGCCTGTCAGTTCTAGGTGTCCAGAAGGAGACCTGGAGCTGGGCCATACGCACCGGCCTGTCAGTGCATCAAGGGCCCCCAGCCCAGTGATCCCCTGACAACTTGTCTGAGTGCCCTGACCGTTCTCCTGACATCAGGCAGGCCAGCTGCCACTGGTGAAGCCTTACCTGTGGTCAGTCCAGGGCCACAACAACAAGAGTGTGAATGAGGCGCTCAACCACCTGCTGACAGAAGAGGAGGATTATTAGGTGAGTGTGGGGAGAGGAGTCCTATCAGAGGGCGGCCCCTCCTCCCGTGCCCAGGGACCCCTGCAGCCAGCCTTAGGCGCTCAGGATCTGGAGAGCCCCTCTCTACACACACCAGTGTGTTCCCAGCAGGCTGCCCTTGCACAGGAGGGAGTATGGGCCCCACAGGGCACCACCAGTAGACGGGCAGGAGCCTTTCTGAGGCCGTAGCGGCAGAAACCCCCACTAAGTAATTTCTGCGTGCCTGGTGTGTCCCTGACCCACGGAAAGGCCATGTCCTCCTAGGGTTTGAGAGCATCTGTCGACGCCTATGATAACTTTAACAGCATCGCCCTGGCACAGCGGTTAGAGAAGCACCACTGATTGAGTTCAGGCGCATTGCCGCTGGTCTGTACAAGGGCAACAGCCAGTGGGTCCAGAGCGTGGAGCTCTGCAAGAAGGACCGTCTCTACCAGGTCAGTGTCCCCATGCCCCGCCCACGTGTGCTTCCCATTGCTTTGTGGGATGGGTAGATCA